TACTAGAGTAATTTATATGTCTTCTTTATAAGCAAAAAACAGACCAACAAAGTGATGAAATGATGATTTCGTATAACGTGGGTTTTTTTCTTTTCATAATAAACTTTTTATACTTTCAGAACTTTAACATACAGCATGACTGCATTATTTTGAAAATATATATGTAGGACTTTGAACCGCGATGGGTCACGCTGAAGTGCGATGGTTTGACGCTGAAGTGTGATGGTTTGACGCTGAAGTGCGATGGTTTGACGCTGAAGTGCGTTTTTGATCATGCTGGAGTGCGTTGGTGGTAACGCTAAAGTGCGATGGGCTACATAAAAACTTTAGTTTTAATGTTATTCATGTTCACATGTAAAAATTTACAAATATTTACAAAATTTATGAAAATTGTAAAAAATTGACTATAAAGGGCAATAACTCCTTAAGGGGTCAATTGACAATTTTGGTCATGTTGACTTATTTGTAGATCTTACTTTGCTGTACACTATTGCTGTTTACAGTTTATCTCTATCTATAATAATATTCAATATAATAACCAAAAGCTGCAAAATTTTCTTAAAATTACCAATTCAGGGACAGCAACCCAACAACGTGTTGCCTGATTGGTCTGAAAATTTCAGGGCAGATAGATCTTGACCTAATGAACAATTTAATTTCGTCAGATTTGCTCTAAATGCTTTAGTTTCAGAGATATGAGCCAAAAACTGCATTTTTCCCTATGTACTATTTTTTAGCCATGTCGGCATCTTGGTTCGCGGGTGGGGTCATCGGACACATTTTTTAAACTAGATACCCTAATGATGATTGTGGACAAGTTTGGTAAAATCTGTCTAAGTAGTTTCAGAGGAGAAGATTTTTGTAAAAGATTACAAAAATTTACGAAAAATGGTTAAAAATTGACTATAAAGGGCAATAACTCCTTAAGGGTCAACTGACCATTTTGGTCAAGTTGACTTATTTGTAGATCTTCCTTTGTTGAACATTATTGCTGTTTACAGTTTATCTCTATCTATAATAATATTCAAGATAAAGACCAAAAACGGCAAAATTTCCTTAAAATTACCAATTCAGGGGCAGCAACCCAACAACGGGTTGTCTGATTCATCTCAAAATTTCAGGGCAGATAGATCTTGACCTGATAAACAAATTTACCCCACGTCAGATTTGCTCTAAATGCTTTGATTTCAGAGATATAAGCCAAAATCTACATTTTACCCCTATGTTCTATTTTTAGCCATGGCGGCCATCTTGTTTGGTTGGCCGGGTCACCGGACACATTTTTTAAAATAGATACCCCAATGATGATTGTGGCCAAGTTTGTTAAAGTGATGAGAAAAGCTCACTTGGCCCTTTGGGCCAGGTGAGCTAAAAATGAAAATTGCCAATATATACATTTACAAGTAATTATATTTTCTAAACTGAACTACAATTATATGTCTCTGTGACAGATTTAATATTTGTAAAATATAAGTGCCTCTTTTAAGGCAGATGTTATTTTTCCAGCTAGTTAATATGATTCGAGGAGTTGTGCAGGTTACAATGAAGTAATTATTTACATAGGCAACAATGGTAGCCTTTTTGGTCCTGCGTTTTTACTATAAAAGATCCGTTGATAAAACTGTCAAATTCTGAATTATCAGCACCTTTGGGTGTGAATAAAACTGTAAAACACATATGGTGCCGCAGCTTTTTTTTTTTTAGAAAAATGGCATTTTAAGGGTCCTCTATGGTTCCGGAATTTTCGAAATAGTATGAATGAAGAACACCTCTTGCTTAATTTTGCACAGAAAAAGTTGCTCGTCACAGAGAGTTTCCTCCAAATTTCTCGCTATTTCTACACCAAAAGCCAACACTCATTTCTCACCGTTTCAATTTTGTTTTCTAATTAACAGGACAGCAGTAAATAAATTTACTTCTACCTATTATCTTGAGTGTAAAATCTAGGCGGCGCCAGTCATCTTTAATTACTTCCTTCTAACCTGCATGTCTCTCATCGTAAGGTAACTGATTGCCATCACTATTTGACTGAGTGAAGGTTGTGTTTCTCTGATAGTCATTTTGGTAACACCTTTCGTATCTTATTGTTGTTGTTGTTATAAGAGATGAGAATTATATTAATTGTTGCAATGTATCGTCATTCTGTCTTAACATCAACTCGGGAAATAATGCTTTTCCGTAGGTTCCCTACAAGTAAAAGTATTCCTTTTTTTTCTAGAGCACTTTGTGTTGTTGACGAATAACTGTTCAATTACTTTACCATTCATGGAGAATATTACTGTTATAGCACAAAGCACGTTGCGTTGTTGACGAATAACTGTTCAATTACTTTACCATTCATGGAGAATATTACTGTTATAGCACACAGCACGTTGTGTTGTTGACGAATAACTGTTCAATTACTTTACCATTCATGGAGAATATTACTGTTATAGCACAAAGTAATTTTGTCTGACCTTTCAATTTTAACCTTATGAGTTTAATTAGACATTTATAAGGACACATATGTAATTTAAGTATCCAATATAGTGAAGGAATATCCAGTTTTTCATCATTGTTTGAAATTCCAAAGGAACATAGAACATACCTATGATATTCTGGATTTCCTCGTTGGTAAGTGTCGTGTGGGTATATGTTGAGTTTTCAAGTGAATTGTCAATGCGCTGCAAATGTTAGGACACTCAGATTATAGATACCAATATCAATTTTTCAAAAAAAAAAACAAGTGAATTTGCTGACCAGTACAATAGCTTGTAAGTTGATCTCTTGTATTTTCTTTATAAAGTTGAATATTATCTATAACACGAACATCAAGGAATTTAATATATACTTCAATTCTACTGCAATTACACAAATAATTAAATGATTCATGTTAAAAATTTGAATTATTAATAATAATAATGTTTAATAAAGACAACAATGAATACAAATGATTTTTACACAATTATAACTTAAATGAAATCATAACCCTTTAAAACATAACTGGCAGCTGAACTGATTCTATATATTACCATCTGACACACGTTAATAAAGGAAAATGTAAGTCAAACCTTAACTTACTTCTTTAAAAAGAAATAATATAATTTAAAAAATTCTTTTAAAAATTAAAATTTCCCTATCATGTTACGGGTACTATCAGATACCAATTGATATCATGATGATGTTCAATTATTTTGTATAAGTGACACATTTTTTTGTGTTCTTGATTGTCGTAATTCGTTTTATTGTAGCTTGCTGTAGATATTGCATGCATTTTTTCGCAATGAAATCACAGATTATTCAAATAACCTACGACAATTTTGAAATGTTTGTTGTATTGCAAAATAAGAGGACAATTTAACCTCCAGAAAAATTGCCTTACAATATAAAAATACGATGTCAATGTAAACCCAACAAACAATGTTCAAAAGCATTGAAGATTTAAATCCCTCTTCACATGTTCATACAAACCGCATTCCAAGCAGACGTGTCTGCATATTTATACATCCCACACAAAGAAGACACCCCTTCGGTTCAGTAGTCTATTACTTAAATGTAGCCATATTTCTGTACTTGTGCTATCAAAGTTCTTAGAAAAAAACACTAACGATGGATGTTTGAATCATGAGAATATTCTATATATTAAAATATTCATTTTAAGTCATATGAAAGGAGTTTCTGGTAATTATGTTTTATAAGTATTAAACCAATGCATGTATATATATTTTGTGTACAAATTGTAATGTTGTACAAATTATAATGTGTACAGAATTTTTGTACAAGTTTTCAGTGTTTTATGAACCGCTTAACACAAATGGATGATACAAGCACACAGTCTTTTGTTTCGCTTATTTCTGTCATATTTCTATGACTACATGATACATGATACTGTCTAATACTGAGCTTTGATACAAAAAACATTATAAGAACACAAATAGACTTTTTATGGATATGATTTTGGTATAAGAAGAAAAATAAAAATAGAATTTAAACGTTTCAGGTGTCCTTATTTCCAGTTTAAGACAGGGAGAATAGCACTTAATGTTAGGTTGAAGTATATAAATTTGAATTTAAGACATTAAGCTGATTAATTTAAGAAGATAAACTTTTACAATCTGATGCAAAAAGGTATGTGCCAAAAACTTTATAACTTGTACAAAAACCCTGTACAAATTATAATGTGTACAATTTTACATCTTATACACAACATATATACGCCAATTAGTCATATGTGCACGGTTGTTTTTACATATATTACGAATTCAAACCGCATAATTGGCAAAACATATTTCATTCTGTGATTGTTGATCGAAAACTCTACCTGCTAATTAACTTTCAGGTTTTGTTACCGAAGTTTACCGATTGCTACCTTTTGATAAACAATCAACATAAAATACTGGAGCACGTGAAAAATAAGTGAGATGATAGAGCGATGTATATTTGTCTTTTTATACTTGCATTTGCGAACTGAAATTTGTCATAACAGTTGTTATATGATTTGGTGTGTTGAATATTTTCTGTCTGAATCGATTAATATTACATTACTTCCCCGTTTGTTCTCCTTATCTTTCGTCACGGTTATTTCCTCGCACTTTCGCAGTTTGGTTGCCGAATTTCAAATGATAGGTGACGGTTAAGATCGCTGCATACGGAAAAGCTGTCAGAAATTAGAGTACGGGAAGACACTAATTCTGAAACAGTACATTTCCATGATTTCTGAAGATATTGATAAAATAAATGATTTTCCTTTAAAAGGAAGTATGTACACGTGTTTTATAGTAAAACGTAGCCCGTCAGTTATATAAAACATACTCAACGATTTTGTTTAAATTAAAGTATCATATGACTTTAAAGTGAAATTAAGAAAATGAAGGTAATATCACGTGTCTGTTTTATTCTCAAATATATATTTAAATAATCACTCCATTACACATTTTCCTGGTTATAATTTACAATAGACATATTTATTAGCAATCTTATAGGGTAAAAGGTCAATCTACAAAATAAAGGTAAATGCACACCTATATCATATGTAAATGATAAGCAGATAGCATGTTGTAAATACACAGTATACATTTAACCTACTTATCTGATAAATAAACAACTAAATCTAATAGGTGAAATATACGGGTGTACACAAACATGGAAGACGGACGCACTATCGTTGTGGCATTGGATGGCAGTCATCATTCGGATTATGCATTTGATTGTAAGTTATTATTCAGTCCAATCGCTGACTATTTTTTTACCTATTGACAATCTTTTTACATGACTAGCATCTTTTAATCTTTATGACATCGGTAAAGTTCATATTAAATAGTGTGACCTACGTTTAGAATCCTTCCAATACGATGATTTTGACATTATACGATTGACTATCAGTTATCCCAATCAGCTACAGTACGATTGACTGTCAGTTATCCCAAGGTTCAGCTACAAATACTTAGTACATATCCGTATGTGTACATGTCATTTTGCCCATCAACGGCCCTTGATTGGAATAATAAATATTCTATTCTATTCTTTTCTATCCGACAATTCGGGCTTTTGAGGAAATTGCCTAAGAACGACGCACATAATTGTCTTACCTATTGTAGTAATTTTTGATAAAACAGTATAAAATTTGAGAGAATATTCGAAATTGTACAAAGCCAGGATGCGAATCTTCTGCTATGTATACACTACGTGGGATGTGTTCGCGTCTGTACCATGACAAAACGGGCATAAGATTATTTCTTGAAGTCATTCATTTAATGAACGCAGAAATCAGTGATTGTTTTATAAAATTATTCAAGGGAAAATATTATGCAATGAATGTTCACTGCTTTCAATTTATGCTTTCCAAAGAATTAATTCTTCGGGGTTAACTTAATCATGAAAATAGCACTTTGTATTACAATGTAAATTATTTATTTCATTCTTCGAACGTAAGGTTTTAAAACTGTTTTTCCTAAAATGTTGAAATATAAATCATTAAAACAGAAGAAAATCTCCTGACAATGTATAATGATTTTTAATGATGTATGTATAAAGCCCTGCGGACACGTAAAATATGTACATAAATATGCAAATATAGGAAAAATAAAATTGCTTTCCCCGTTTAACTGTTATTTGACTAGATGATGTAGATGAAATGCTAAGACAATTTCCAAAGTGTATAGATCCATTTCTTTTCAATATTAAACACGATCTGTTATATTAATCGATGTTATGTAGTCATGTGCCTAACATTTAATTATAAAAGTAAGAAGATGTGGTATGATTGCCAATGAGACAACTCTCCACAAGAGACCAAGGGCGTGTTTTATTGCCCTCTTCTGTACATCTCAAGAATGTCTTCTGGTGTAGAGTCAAAAAAAAATGAATCTGGATCTCTTCTGCAGATATTCTGTAGAAGATGCAATAAAACAAAAAAAAATAATTTGCTGTTGAATATAGCAGATTTTTTTTATGTTGGATGACATACTAGTAAATGAAGTTTACGATAATTTATTAGAAAATTAAGATACGTTAGTTCCGAGACATGACTTATAATATATAGTGTTCTCTGTTTTGGTAATGATGTATTTATATACCGTCCCTTGGTGCCTCCTGCAGTTAAGCTAGATATATTTAGCCTACTCACAGATTTTTTTTTTTTTTTTTTTTGTTACTTTCTAGAGGTGTGCCTGAGACGAAGGTTTTATATATACGCCTATATATATACGAATATGTGAAAACTGTTGTTCTTATTTGTGTTTGTAACTATGTATACTGTATTGTTTATTATATTTGCAAAAATAATATTATAATGATATTATATAATGCTCCTTGTGAGCCCATTTGATGGAAAAAAAGCATCTTCTTCTTCTTCTATATATAATAAATGTAAAAACAAAGAAAAATGGTTGGAAGAAATCGCTGTGTTCGTGACATGTTTTTTTTTAGGCTTTCCTAACTCAATTTTGCTAAACAAATCCGGCTTAAAGCCCCGACTTTTCAGGAATAATCTTAAACTGTACAAGAATTAGTCAATGTTTGTCTGGTATATGATCGAAAAAGACATCTTGTCTATCAAATTTTATTAAAGTAACCAAACTGGATTATTTTTGTATAAAGCAAAGATATCGCAGAGTTCTCAAAATCTTCAGTTTTCCATGCAGGTCCTTGAAAAAAATCTGCTGTTCCTAACTATTATTTCTACTGCAAAATGTGGATGGTCAAAACCTTCGGACCACCACTTTTCGAAAACCTTAATTCTATATATGCATGTATACAAGGTAAACAAGGTCATGGCATGTCTCAGACTACCGTTGGTTGTGTACTGATTGATACTTTAGTCTGGGAGAACAAGATTTATTTCAGTTTTATATAGATGTTATAAGTTTTGAACAAACAATTAGTAACTGCAAATAGTGACATACTCTTATTTTGGTGATTTGTGTCTATTGTCTTAATGTTAGTTGTTTTTGTGTCTCGTACCGATCTTTTGAATTTATCTAATTGCAACTGATTTTTATAGTTTGTTCTTATGTTGTACTGTTACACCACTGTCACACAAACATGTTTAACCCTGCAATATTCTTTATGTGTCTGTCCCAATTGTAAGTGAGGAGCCTGTAGTTCAGTGGTTGTCGTTGGTTCATGTCTGTCGACTTTTATTTGATATTTTGTAAATTGTTTTGTTATATAATATATATAAATAACAAGTCTAAAAGGATACAACATCACCAAAAAATAATAATAAAATGAACAAATGTTAAATATTTCGGATAACAGATATCCTTCATCAGTATGAATACGATGTAAAATGAATCATATCAATCTAGTCTGATTATTAAACTAAAACAATCTTGAAATTTATACATTAAAACAGTCAAAACTGAACATCATAGAGACGCTTGTATAATTATATTTTTTTAAACACTACGTAGGGTATGTAGCTATTTACAACATAGACTGCAAAGATATGCTTCAAATAAAAATAGTAATGTGCGATATGAACTGGTACAACTCTCAAATTTCAAAGGTGACGACAGTTAAGATGTTACAACAACGATTGCGTGGAAATACATTCCCAATAAACAGCACTGACCGATCCAAGCTAGTATAATATTTCAAATTTGACAACGGTAGAGTAATTAAAACAGAGGCTGCGTATTTAAACATCCCAAAAAGATAGCAGTTTGATAATGATTAAAAAAATAATACTGGAAACAAGTGATGGTAGGAAAATTAGTGATAGTAGGGAAAATGAGTGACTCATTCTATGTTTTTTTCATTTATGCCCTCTGGGGAAACTGTTCTTAGCTTTCTTATCCAAAACCTTTCCCTAGCGAGTCTGTCGGCCCTTGACCAACACTCATTTTCCCAACTATCACTAATTTTCCTACCATCACTTATTTCCAGTAACTCAGGCTTCCGTACTGGACTCTTACAGTTTTAAGGAATTTTTTAATTACACTAGTTTAAATTACAGGGTTCTATTCATTTGGGAGGGATGTATAAGTAGTCAGTCACGTTCAATTATTTAACCTTAGTCAAAATTTATAATTTTTTTTTTAATCATTATCAAACTGATATCACTTTGGGATGTTTGAATAGGCAGCAGGGTTTAAGAACATCAGTTGTTCGACCTGTTAGTCAAAAGCTTTTTGTTAAAATATACTTTTATCCATGTTACATCTGGTGATCAATTTATTTGGCAATCGTCAATGGCAGTCAGCAGGGTTTAAGAACATCAGTTGTTCGACCTGTTAGTCAAATGCGTTTTGTTAAAATATACTTTTCACTTTTTGGTCTTTTGGAAAATGTTGTTTGTGCTGGATTTAGACCCCTCTACCAAGAAATTTGTTTTACATGCACACGTATAAAAATTTCGGTTTTTATCCAAGGCAATCATAGGTTTGAACGTTGTTTTCAATTTAGATACATTTATATTTTTTCGTTTGGGCTTGTATTATATTTTTCTTCGGGCTAATATGATCCGTTCATCCTATTTCGACTCTTTAAAATTCAAGAGTCTATCCTAAATTGAGGTAAATTATATGGCCTTCCAAATACCGTTTCGATCCCTAACATCACTGAAGAGACATTAATTGTCGAAATCCGGATATGGTTTACAAATTTTTGCCCCTCATGTTTGCGGTATACCATCTTCTCCGCAAGTTTATTGTTTTCTGTTTGGTATTAAATTAAATATAAGATCCATGTTACATCTGGTGATCAATTTATTTGGCAATCGTCAATGGCAGTCATCAGGATTTAAGAACATCAGCTGTTCGACCTGTTAGTCAAATGCGTTTTGTTAAAATATACTTTTCACTTTTTTAGTCTTTTGGAAAATGTTGTTTGTGCTAGATTTAGATCCCTCTACCAGGAAATTTGTTTTACATGCACACGTATAAAAATTGCGGTTTTTATTCAAGGCAATCATAGGTTTGAACGTTGTTTTCAATTTAGACACGTTTATATTTTTTCGTTTGGGCTTGTATTATATTTTCCTTCGGGCTTATATGATCCGTTCATCCTATTTCGAGTCTTTAAAATTCAAGAGTCTATCCTAAATTGAGGTAAATTATATGACCTTCCAAATACCGTTTCGATCCCTAACATCACTGAAGAGACATTAATTGTCAAAATCCGGATATGGTGTACAAATTTTTGCACCTCATGTTTGCGGTATACCATCTTCCCCGCAAGTTTATTGTTTTCTGTTTGGTATTAAATTAAATATAAGATCCATGTTACATCTGGTGATCAATTTATTTGGCAATTGTCAATGGCAGTCAGCAGGGTTTAAGAACATCAGTTGTTCGACCTGATAGTCAAATGCGTTTTGTTAAAATATACTTTTCACTTTTTTGGTCTTTTGGAAAATGTTAGTTGTGCTGGATTTAGACCCCTTTACCAAGAAATTTGTTTTACATGCATACGTATAAAAATTTCGGTTTTTATCCAAGGCAATCATAGGTTTGAACGTTGTTTTCAATTAAGACACGTTTATATTTTTCGTTTGGGCTTGTATTATATTTTCCTTAAGGGCTTATATGATCCGTTCATCCTATTTCGACTCTTTGAAATTCAAGAGTCTATCCTAAATTGAGGTAAATTATATGGCCTTCCAAATACCGTTTCGATCCCTAACATCACTGAAGAGACATTAATTGTCGAAATCCGGATATGGTGTACAAATTTTTGCCCCTCATGTTTGCGGTATACCATCTTCTC